CGCAGAGGAGCAGTGGACGGACGGAGAGACATCCGGTGCGTGCCGGGCACAGGGGGAGGACGCTGACGCGAACCACGACCACTAGCGCGAGCAGCACGGACAGGCGACGCAGGACGAGACGCAGGCTCACGACGCTCAGCAAGACCTCCAGTAGGACCAGTGTAGGGAGAAGGAGCAGGCAGTGGGGAGGCCGGCTGTAACTGTGACCGTGACGGGACAGGCTGTGGACACTCTAAGGGAGGAGGAGGACCAGTAGAAGGCGGGAGACCAAGAACCTGCTCAAGAAGCGGAACGAAGTACGGCCGAGGCCGCGCAGCGACTCCAGACACAGCAGTGACAGCACTAGTACCCCCAGTGGTAGCACCAGCGCCAGCAGCACCTCCAGCTCCAGTATCCCCAGCAGCTCCAGTAGCTCCAGGACTTCCAGCAGCACCAGTAGCACCCCCAGCAAGACCGCCTCCAGTACCGCCAGCAGTACCCTCAGCGCCAACACCCTCAGCAGCTCCAGCTCCAGTCGGACCACGAGAAGACGCAGTGGCTCCAGCTCCAGTAGTACCCGCAAGCCCAGCAGCTCCAGTACTCCCGGTACGAGCACCTCCGGGACCCGTGGCACCAGCACCCTCAGCAGCCGAAGAACCTCCAGCTCCAGCAGCACGCCTCCAGCGCCGGGCAAACCACTCACGCACCTCCTGTGGAGAGAGTATCTCCCGTCGAGACGGAGCACCCAGAGAACCTCCAGGCCCAGCACCGCCAGACGCCACACGAGCAGGCCCAGCTCCCTCAGGCTCCGCACCCCCAGGCTCAGCACCTCCAGGCGTAGCACCCCCAGGCTCAGCACCCCCAGTCGTAGCACCCCCAGGCTCAGCACCCCCAGACTCAGCACCCCCAGGCTCAGCACCCCCAGTCGTAGCACCCTCAGGCTCAGCACCCCCAGGCTCAGCACCCCAGGCGTAGCACCCACACGCTCAGCACCCCCAGAGTCAGCACCCCCAGGCTCAGCACCCCCAGCAGCACCAGAGTCACCAGCGACCTCCACAGGCTCGACTGCGTCTACCTGGGACACACCTGAAGGGGCAGGACCCTGAGGGGGAAGGGGGTCTACCGGGGGGGGACCTGGCACAAGGAAGAGCGGTGGCCGGGGGAGGGACGGAGTGCGGTAGGGGAAGAGACGGTAGTAGGGGACCGACTCGTCAAACGTGACGTCCTGGGAGGACAGAACACGGCGAGAGGTGGGGTGGTAGAACTGCCACCCTGGCGCGTCAGGGGGGAAGCCAAGGAAGACGCAGGGAGCAGCACGAGGGGACAGCTTGTCCGCAGACAAGTCGCGGACAAACGCCCGAGATCCCCAGACACGGAACGCAGACGCATCGCCAACCTTCCCCGTCCACAGCAAAGCTGGGGAGGTCTCCGGCATGGAGACCCTGGGCTGAAGGTTGATCTGATGCGCCGCGTACCGAACCGCAAACGGCCACAGAAAATGGGGGGCAGCCGCATGCATCATGGACGTACGGGCGACGTCCATGACCATGCCAATGCGGCGCTCAGCAATCCCATTTTGCTGTGGAGAGTCCGGAAGCGTGAAGGTCTGGCGGATGCCTCGTGCACGACAGTAGGCTCGCAGAAGGCCAGAGGAGAACTCTCCGCCTCTGTCAGAGTGCAGACGCAGAACAGGAAAGTCCGAGCCGAAACTCTCTCTGTGCTGGAGACGAGCTGCGCGGATCCAGTCGATCAACACCTCAGTGACATCACCCTTGCTGCGCAAGGGGAAGACTGTGGTGTAACGCGAGTAGTCGTCAACCACCAGCAGGAAGTAGCGCTCGTGACCCTGTCCACGGACGCGGGCCGGGCCCCACACGTCCATGTGAAGCGTCTGCAGCGGGGCCTCTGTCGGAGGAAACTGGGAGGAGTGAGGGGCAGCACGCTGCCGCCCCTCGACACAGGGGACGCAGGTAGGGGCAGGCCCCGGAGGAAGGGGAGGGAGGGACCGGGGAAGACCAGAGACAAGGACACGGGAGGCCATGCCTCGGAGACGAGGCAGGGAGGGGTGACCAAGGCGGTGGTGCCAGAGGAGAGTCTCGTGAGAAAGGAGGCGACACCGCCAGCAGAGGCGGCGCCGGGGCCGGGAAGGGCGGCGCCGAGGCCGGGAAGGGCGGCGCCGGGGCCGGGAAGGGTGGCGCCGGGGCCGCAAGGGTAGACGACGGGGCCGCGAGGGCGGCGTGGAGGGGTCGCGAGGGCGGCTCGAGGAGGCCGCGAGGGCGGCGCGAAAGGGCCGCGAGGTCGGCGCGAAAGGGCCGCGAGGGCGGCGCGACGGGGTCGCAAGGGCGACGCGACGGGGCCGCTAGGGAGGCGCGACGCGACGGGGCCGCTGAGGCGGCGCGACGGGGTCGTTAGAGGGGAGCGCGACTCGGGCAGAGGCTGAGCGCGCTACGGGCAGGAAAAAAAAGTTGGTGGGCCCTAGGAACAGTTCCCACAGGGGAACCTGCTCTGATACCATGTGAAAATGAACGAGGAATGATAAGACTAAGGGAAAGTTGGGTACAAGTACAAACCCTAGAAAGCTGTACCCCATATGTGCTACCCCACTATAGCCTACAGCAGCTAAGTCATATAAATCTGACACACGTGGCATCGTGTCCCACTTGTCAGCTCATGAAATCATCACGACAGCGGCCGGCGGGATAGTTGCATCCGATACCACCCCCAGAGCGTGCTTGGCAGCAGGTGACGATGGACTTCGTCACGGGGTTACCAGCCGGGGCGAGTGGGAACGACGCGATCCTGGTCGTCGTCGATCGACTGACGAAAATGGCACATTTCGTAGCCTGCAAAAGATCAATCACAGCCGAAGAAACAGCACGCCTCTTCATCTCCACCGTCGTTCGACTGCACGGGATACCAGCCGCGATCATCAGCGATCGCGACACGAAATTCACCAGCAACTTCTGGCGGAACCTGTGGCAGCAGTTCGGCACGCGACTGCAGTTCAGTTCATCATACCACCCCGAAACCGACGGACAGACAGAACGGACAAATCAGACCATGGAACAGCTCATCAGGGCCACGTGTGACGACCCGACCACATGGGAACAGCAACTGCCACTAATCGAATTCGCGTACAACAACTCGCCATCCGCCACGACCCAACAGTCACCATTTTACCTAAACTACGGACAAGACCCGACAGTACCCATGACCCCGAATCCCGACAACCCAGTACCACGAGCACAACAGTTCGCCGAAATATTACAAGCAGCACGGACCCGGGCAGCAGACGCAATAAAAAAATCGAACATCATCGCTAAACGCAACGCCGACCGCCACCGCAGACCTGTCACTTACCAGCCCGACGACTTAGTTTTACTTGACACTCAGAACCTCCGACTGCCCATCACCCCGAAACTCCGCCCCCGATACTGCGGGCCATTTCGCATAAGCCACATGCTTACATCCGTCACCGCCCACCTCCTCCTCCCTGCTGACTGGTACGTCAGCCCCTCATTCCACGTCAGCCTACTTCGCCCTTACGTCCCGTCCCCGAGCCAACTGCCACGCAATCGCCCAGCCAGCATGACAAGACCACCAACTGAACCAATCATCACCCCCGAGAAAATCCAGAGTCACAGAGTTCGTGACCCTCGAGGAGCCCGAAGGATCGAGTTCTTACTCCGCTGGAAGGACCGTACACCCACCGAAGACAATTGGGTTCCCCTGGACAGAATCGAAAACCACCCCGTCCTCACCGAGTATCTGCGCAGCCGAAATTTCAGGGATGTACACGCACTTTCGTAAGGAGGACCTCCTTAAGGGGGGGGGTAGTGTAAGGAAAAATCCTTTTCCTTACTTCGCATCCCTGCTCAACGCGTACATCACTGTAGCACCACAGTCAGCACCGTTACCACTCGCAACCCTCGCATCGACAATCCGCCCGCCACCTTCGCACATCGCACCCCGACCTCACGGCTCGGCGGGTAACCCGCGCTCCGGGCCTCCGCTTCGACACTTTTTCCCAACCTCAGTCCCAGGCCCATCGCGCAACAACCACAGTCCATTACCGTTACCACTGTAGTTTCGCTATATATTCTTCGCTCATGCCTTCGCTCATTGGACTCTTGCTTCGATAGTGCAATTCTCGTTCGTTTACTCAATTGCACTCGTAACAGGTAACCTGGATTGAGTTTGGTCACCAGTTGGCCAAACATGGGCCGCTGGCTGGACTGGAGTGGAGTCACGGAAGCTGCATTCAGGTAGTGAGGGGTAGGGCGCCAGTGGGGCGTCGGATAGTGGCTCGATAATCGTCGCGTCAAAGCGACGGACAGCGCGACGAAACAGCGACACACAGAGCGACAGTAGATGATGAGAGCAAGAATAGCCGATTCGCGTTGGCGGAGAGCCGCGACAGCAGAGGCGCGAGGAGCAGCGGGAATGGCGGATGGGGGAAGCGCGGGCGCGCAGGCGGGGCTCCCGGCGGCTGCAGCGGCGGAAACAGCAGCGTCGCTGCGAGCAGCACAGGCCAGAGCGGCGGCGGCACCGGCGCGAAGAGGCGGTTGTGCCAGTTGCGCTCCGCCTGGATCATTTCCTCGTCGTCGCCACCGCAGCCGCCCCCGCCGCTACCGCCGCCATTCCCGCTGCACGCGCGCCTCTACCGGGTCTCCGCGAGAGCCCGCGGAAATCGGTTTAAGCGCTGACGGGGCCAGAAATGACGGGCGGCCGCGCGGAGGGGAAAGGGGAGGCGGAACCGGGAGGGGAGTCGCAAGGAGGGGAGGGGAATAGGTGGATACTAGCGCGCGTGGTTTGGGTTCGGCGGAAATGATGCGAGGGGAGGGATAACGGGGAGTAGGAAGGCGGAGGAGGGGAGAAGGCGCCGGCGGACGGGTGGAGACAGGTGGGGACGGGCGGGAAAAGTGGAAAAACGGGGGAAAGGTGTGAGAGGGCGTGCGTGAGAGAGGGTGCGTGGAGACGCGCTGTGGAGGGGTGGGTGAAGGCAGCAACTTTGGAGAGAATTAGTGTGAGGCGGGGGAAGGAGAGGCGGACACCGAATAAGAAGCGAGCGAGCCGCTTGAAACGCATGGTGGTGCTGGCGAGACAGGCGCGCGAGCGTGGGCGGCAGTGCGAGCGCGTGCGCAGGTGGCAGCGTGCGCAGTAGCGCGAGTGTGGGGGGAGGGGGAGATGGGGGAGGGGTGGATGGGGAGACGGGGACCTCAGGGTAAAGGACGCATGGGAGCAGGGAGCTATGCGGCGGCGCATCCCCTGCATCCCCCTCTCCCTCCCCATCCCCCCCGCAACGACGCACAGGACAGGGAGCGATGAGGCGGCGGGTGCTGGCAGGGCTGAAGGAGGTGGGGCAGGCGGTGCGCAGTGGGAGGGCCAAGTGTGTGGTGCTGGCGCCTAACGTGGAGGAGGTGAGTGGGGCAGGTGAGGGGAGGGAGGTGAGGGGAGCGAGGTAAGGGGAGGGGTAGGTGAGGGGAGGAGAGGGAGGTGAGGGGAGGGAGTTGAGGGGAGGAAGGTGAGGGGAGAGAGGTGAGGGGAGGGAGGTAAGGGAGGGGTTGGTGAGGGGAGGGGAGGGAGGGAGGTGAGGGGAGGGAGATGAAGGGAGGGGTAGGTGAGGGGAGGGGAGGGAGGTTAGGGAGGGATAGGCGAGGGGAGGGGTAGGCCAGGGGAGGGGTAGGCGAGGGGAGGGAGGTGAGGGGAAGGACGTGAGGGTGGGGTAATGATGGGTGGCGCTGGAGAGGCAAGTGTTTGGTGGTGGCAGCTACTGTGGAGGAGGTGTTTGCTGGTGGGGGGGGAGAGATGCTGGTGTGGGGGGGAGAGATGCTGGTGTGGGGGGGAGAGATGCTGGTGTGGGGGGGAGAGATGCTGGTGTGGAGGGGAGAGATGCTGGTGTGGGGGGGAGAGATGCTGGTGTGGGGGGGAGAGATGCTGGTGTGGGGGGGAGAGATGCTGGTGTGGGGGGGAGAGATGCTGGTGTGGGGGGGAGAGATGCTGGTGTGGGGGGGAGAGATGCTGGTGTGGGGGGGAGAGATGCTGGTGTGGGGGGGAGAGATGCTGGTGTGGGGGGGAGAGATGCTGTTGTGGGGGGGAGAGATGCTGGTGTGGGGGGGAGAGATGCTGGTGTGGGGGGGGAGAGATGCTGGTGTGGGGGGGAGAGATGCTGGTGTGGGGGGGAGAGATGCTGGTGTGGGGGGGAGAGATGCTGGTGTGGGGGGGAGAGATGCTGGTGTGGGGGGGAGAGATGCTGGTGTGGGGGGGAGAGATGCTGGTGTGGGGGGGAGAGATGCTGGTGGATGGCGCATGGTGGGGTGGGGTAGGCGGTACGCAGTGGAAAGGCCAAATGTGCATTGCACCCAGTGCTGCCACCCAACGGGGAGGGGGAAAGGCGCCTGGGGAAGGTGAGAAAGATGAGGGGAAGGTATGGATGGGAGGCGAGAGGAGGGTTAAGAGTTGTTAAGTGCGTGGTGCTGCTGCTGGCTATCTGCGTGGGAGAGATGCCGTGGGAAGGGGAGAGGGGGGCGGGTGTGGGTAGGAGGAAAGGAGGGTGGGAGGGTTCCACTTACCCCTCACAACCCCCCTTGGCGAGGAGAAGCGGCAATGGCGGACTGGGCAGGCACGCGCGCACAGGCGAGACTCCTGGCGGTGGCAGCGGCGGAAACAGCAGCGTCGCTGCGACGCCAAAGCGGCGGCGGCGGCGCGGTGAGGCGGTGGACGCTCGCTCCGGTCGCGCTCCGCCTGGATCATTTCCTCCACCGCCACCTCCGCCGGCTGCACCGCTTCGCCGCCATCCCCCCTGTGAGCGCCCCTCTACCGCCCCCTCCGCGAGAGTCCGCGGATATCAGTTTGCCCGCCACTAGGAGGAGGGGCGCAGATGGACGCAGCAGTGATGGGCGACCGCAGGTAGGGGGAAGGGGGGGCGCAGTGGGGAGGGGAGGTGCGGAGTGGAGAAGGGGCAGGGGGGATGCTGGCGCGTTGGGTTTGGTGGAAACTGGGTGGGAGACGGGGGAGCATGAGGCGGAGCAGGATAGGGGAGGAGGGCAGAAGGGGCGGGCGGAGGGGTGGGGACGGGCGGGGGAGAGGGAAGGGACGAGATTTTTCTCCATGGGCTCCAGGAGGGGCCAGGCGAGCGGGGGAGGGGAGGAACCGCGGAAGGGGGGAGGGGGGGCTGTTGCGGGTGAACATGGCAACGTGGGAGAGCATTGGTGTGAGAGGGGGGGGGCGAAGGAGAGGCAGACACCGAAGCAGAAGCGAGCGAGCCGCTTGAAACGACTGGTGGTGCTGGCGAGACAGGGAAGGGGGGGAGGAGGGACGGGAGGGGGAGGGAGGAGGAAGGAAGGGATGGGAAGACGGGGAACGGGTAAATGACGCATGGGAACAGGAGGGTGGGAGGGTTCCACTCGCCCCTCACAACCCCCCTTGGCCCTCACAACCCCCCTTGGCCCTCACAACCCCTCTCGCACCCCCGAGGATGACCTTGCCGTGGGCTGCTGTCGGCAGGCTCTGGGACACATGGCACATGCGGTGAGTGTTATGCCCACTAACCATGCCCAGCTACCCATGCCCATCCACCCATCTCACTTCACACATGCCCATTCACCCATGTCGCTTCATATGCCCATCCACCCATGTCCCTTTACAAATTTCCAACCCCCCATGTCCCTTCACACATGCCCATTCACCCATGTCTCTTCACATGCCCATTCACCCATGTCTCTTCACATGCCCATTCACCCATGTCCCTTTACAAATGCCCACCCCCCCATGTCCCTTCACACATGCCCATTCACCCATGTCTCTTCACACATTCCCATTCACCCATGTCGCTTCACACATGCCCATTCACGCATGTCGCTTCACACATGCCCATTCAGCCATCCCATGTCGCTTCACACATGACCATTCACCCATGTCGCTTCACACATGCCCTTTCACCCATGTCCCTTCACACATGCCCATTCGCGCATGCCATTCGCGCATGCCCATTCGCACATCTCCCTTCACATATTCCCCTTCACTCGTGCCCATCACCATCTTCCGTCACCAACCACCACCGCACACCACCACCCACCACCACACACCACCACCCACCACCACCGTGCAGGTATCTGCCTTCACTCACATCATTGACACCCATCCGATCCTCAAGATGCACCCGTCCTCTTCCACACCTGTTACCAGGTAAGCTGTGGGGGCGGTGTGTGCCTTTCAGGGAATCACCAGGTAAGCTGTGGGGGCGGTGTGTGCCTTTCCACCAGGTGGTTTCCAGGAAATTACCAGGTGGCTTCCAGGAAATCACTAGGAGCTTATGAACAGGTGACTATCAGATGCCTATGTGTTGAGCTATTGGGTGAGTTGTAGGGGGGTATGTGGGTGGTTTGCTGCACCTGAACGCCCTACTAGCCCCTGTGCCTCATGTCTGCTGTTCCAATCTTTCTCTTCCTCTTCACTGCTTTTGTCTCAGCGTGACATCACCACTTCTCTCGACAGTTCTTTCAGTGACTTCTCCATTGAACAAGCACGAGGGGGAGAGGGGAGATGGTAGGGTAGTGGAGCAAGCACGAGGGGGAGAGGGGGAGAGGGTAGAGGCTAAAGCAAGAGTGGGGGAGATGGTGGAGAACCATGAGTCAAACCGAGACAGCTACAATCAGTTTGGGTTGACACAGCTGTCCCCTGAGTGGCTTATCCATTGCCGACGTCTTCAGCAATGCCCTCCTGGAGAGGGAGTAGAGCGTGTGGGAGGCAGAAATGGGTGAGAAAATGAGAAAGGTCAAAAGAATATACGAGCGCTAACACATCCGTTATAGTCTAGTCGGTTAGGATACTCGGCTCTCACCTGAGTGACCCGGGTTCTAGTCCCGGCAACGCATATGTTTATGGTATCTTGTCACAGGAGACACAGCCCAAAATGTTGACAGTGTGTTGTGCTAAAAGTTTTTGTATACATTTGCAAAAGGGAGTTTCAAAAGTTTTGAAATCTGAAATATTGGTAACCACATTACCCCTTCAACACCTCGCTGACCAAGGGAGGGAGATTGCCCCGGCACCCAGCACTCCCTGCTGATTCAAAACTTTAGGGTCGACAAAAGTATACGAAATGCCCTCCACTCTCGGATCTACGCTACTACGCCTAGAGGTAGCATAACCCGATGCTAAGCAGGTCGTGACTAAACAGCGAGCTCATTTTACCAAGTTCCACCAACACAAGCCTAGACGCGTGGGCGTCATTACATGTCCGCAACGAAGTCATTTCCGCCCTCTAACATAACGGCGCCGCCGGACCCCCTCCTACAGCCTCGCCTCGTTGTCCGACGCGTTCCGGGAAACACGTTTCCTCTTCACGCCACCGTGAACGCGGGCGACGCGGCCCAAACTGCCGAACGCGTGGTTGCACAAACGCAGACTGATCTGACAGAAAAAACGACAACGTGTCCGTTCTAGCCGCCGGGAGGCGAGGTTGAGGTACGGAACGACTGCTGAAACGTCTGCATGTCCCCCCCATATCCGCCTCCTCGTTATCCCTTCTCGCCTCCGCAATTCTCCATCCCGCCTCAACCGCTTCCCCCTCCTACTCCGCATTGCCCATTCCTGCCACGACGTCTCCCCTTCCCGCCGTCTCAATTCACGTTCCCCGCACCCCGTATCCCCTCATGGTTTCCCCTTCCCGCACCCCGTATCCCCTTCCCGCCACCCCAATTCCCCTTTCCGCCACCACTTTTCCCCTCCCCGTCTCCCGATTACCCCTTCCCGCCTCCCCGGTTTTCCTTCCCGCCCAACAATTCCCCTTTCCGCCTCCCCGTTTCCCCTTCCCGTACCCCGTATCCCCTTCCCGCCTCCCAAAATCCCCTCTCCGCCACCCCTTTTCCCCACCTCGTGTCCCCATTACCCCTTATCGCCTCCCCGGTTTCCCTTCCCGCCCCGCAATTCCCCTTTCTGCCTCCCCGTTTCCCATTCCCGCTCACCGTTTCCTCTTCCCCCATTCGCGTTCCCCTCCCCGCTCCCCATTACCCCTCCCCACCTCTCCGTTACCCCTTCCCACCTTCTTCATTCCCCTTCACGCTCCCCATTACCCCTCCCCGCCTCCCGGTTTCCCCTTCTCGCCGCCTCAATACCGGTTCCAGCCTCCTCGTTTCCCCTAGCCGCCTCCCCGTTTCCCCTTCCCGCTCCCCGTTTCCCCTTCCCGCTCCCCGTTTCCCCTTCCCGCTCCCCGTTTCCCCTTCCCGCTCCCCGTTTCCCCTTCCCGCTCCCCGTTTCCCCTTCCCGCTCCCTGTTTCCCCTACCCGCCCCGTTTCCCCTTCCCGCTCCCCGTTTCCCCTTCCCGCTCCCCGTTTCCCCTTCCCACCTCCCCGTTTCCCCTTCCCGCTCCCCGTTTCCCCTTCCCGCTCCCCGTTTCCCCTTCCCGCTCCCCGTTTCCCCTTCCCGCTCCCTGTTTCCCCTACACGCTCCCCGTTTCCCCTTCCCGCTCCCCGTTTCCCCTTCCCGCTCCCCGTTTCCCCTTCCCGCTCCCCGTTTCTCCTACCCGCTCCCTGTTTCCCCTACCCGCTCCCCGTTTCCCCTTCCCGCTCCCCGTTTCCCCTTCCCACCTCCCCGTTTCCCCTTCCCACCTCCCCGTTTCCCCCTCTTGGCTCCTAATTTCCCTCATTGCCTCCCGTCTATCCCCACCCAACCCACCCATCTCCATTTCCCCTCTGTCCTGATTACCCCTTCCCGGCTCCCCGGTTTCCCTCCCCGCCCCGCATTTCCCCTATCCGCCACCCCGATTCCCATTCCCGCAGCAAGTACCCCCTTCACACATTGTAATTTCCCCTTCCCGCAGCCCATTACCCCTTCCCACCTCCCCGTTCCACCTTCCCTCTCCCCGTTTCCCTCTCCCTATCTCCCGCTAAACGCCACCCTATCTCCCCAGCCGTCCCTCCTATCTCCATCTCAAGCCTCGCCATTCCGTGTGCTAGCCTCCCCATCTTTCTTTCCCCCGACTCCCTAAAATGACCCCCTTCCCTTCTCCCTCTCCTTTCCCCCCCTTCCCCCAGAAGTTTCCTGCGCTTGCCCCTTTCATTACCCCCGCTTCTCCTTCTCAGTTACGCCCCTCTTCCCTCTCATCTCCCCTCGTGCTGCCTCTCATGTCCCCCCTTTCCCCTTCTTTCATTCCCCCATTCTCCCTCTCATCCCCCCCCCTACCCAACCTGAAATCCCCTCTTTCTCCCTTTCTTTACCCCTCACATGCCCCCTCATTCCACACCCCCCCACCCCCCCCCCCCCCCCCCCCCTCCTACCCCCTCTCGCGTCCCCCCCATTCACCTGCTCATTTCCTCCCCTTCTCCCTCTCATTGCCCCCCATGCTCCCTCTCATGTCCCCCTTTTCTCCTTCTCATTTATCGCCATTCTCCCTCTCATTCCCCCCCCCCTTCTCAAGCTCATTTCCCCCCTTTCTCCCTCCCATTTCCCCGGATGTGCCCCCTCCTTCCCCCCCCCCCCTTTCCCCCTCTCGTTTTCACCTGCTCATTTTCACCCCTTCTCCCTCCCACTGCCCCATTCGCGGCCTCTCAGTTTCGCCCCTTCTCCCTCTTATTCACTCCCCCTTCTCCCTCTCGTTTCCCCATCTCCTCCCTATCGTTTCCCCCCTCCCCTTCTCGTCTACCCCCGTCCCCCTCTTATGTCTCCCCATTCTCCTTCCTGGTTTTCCCCATTCTCCATCTCATTCCCCCCTCATTCCCAAGCTCACCTACCCCCTTTCTCTCTCCATTCTCCCCAGATGTGCCCCCTCATTCCCCCCCTGTCCCCCTCTCGTTTCCCCCCCATTCACCTGCTCGTTTCCTCCCCTTCTCCCTCCCATTGCCCCCCATGAGACCGGACCAGGGTTCCCCTTTTGTCTCCCTCATTCAACCCCCCTGCGGGGTTCCACATCCGCCGGTTTCGGGTCCCACATCCGCCGGTTTAGGGTCCCACATCCGCCGGTTTTGGGTCCCACATCCGCCGGTTTTGGGTCCCACATCCGCCGGTTTTGGGTCCCACATCCGCCGGTTTTGGGTCCCACATCCGCCGGTTTTGGGTTCCCCTCCCCCCCTTTATCCCGTTCATTGCCCTCCCTTCTCCTTTTCATTTTCCCGCCGTTCTCCCCCTCATTCCCCCGTGCTCCCCCATCGCATACCCTTCTAACCCCTGCCGTACCCTCCGTCACACACGCTCCTTCCTCCAGGGCGCCCACGCTCACTCCCCTGCCACCCACGCGCAATCCCCTCCGTGCTGTTTAGTAACAGCACCCCCTGTCCATCTCCCACATTGCAACCCTAAACTCCATCTACCCCCTGCTTCCCCTCTGTCTCCTCCCTTCTTCCCCCTTTTAGCGTTCACTGTCTTACCCCCTTCTCCCCCCTCTCCCTTCTCTTCCATACACTCTTCTTACCCCTTACCCCTCTCTTCCGTACACCATTCTACCCCCAACTTGCGTTCTCTGCCTTAGGCCATGCTTCCCCCTTCCGGCCTCTCTCTTCCCTACACCCTTCTTCCCCATCTCCCCTCTCTTCCCTACTTCCATCCACCCCCTTTCCCCACTCCTCGTTACCCCCTTCTTCCCCCACAATGCCGGCTCAGAGAAACACCGTGCTTCCCCCTTTTTCCTCTCTTCCTTGCACCTATCTTCCCCCTTCCCCCTTACACCCTTCTACCCCCTTTCCCCCCTCTGCGTTACGCCCTTCTTCCCCCCTTTCCCCTCTCTGTCTTACACCCCTCTTGCTCTATACTCCACTCTGCCTTACCCCCTTCTACCGCCTTAGCAATCTTTCCCCTCTCCCCTCTCTGCCTTACTCCCCCCTTTCCCCTCTCTCCCTACTCCCTTCCACCCCCTTCACCCTCTCATCGTTACCCCCTTCTTCCCCCACAATGCGTTCTCTGTCTTACATTGTGCTTCCCCCTGTTTCCTCTCTTCCTTGCACCTATCTTCCCCCTTTCCCCACTCTGCCCCACGTCCATTCCCCCCCCCCCCCCAATCCCCTCTCATCCTTACAGGGTCCTTCTTCCCCCCCCAGTCTGGAGTGTGGAGCAAATGTCACATCAAGGAGGCACGGGCAGTGGCACGGCCAAGCGCATCCGGACTGGATGGCCTGCTAGGTAACCCGTTTACATTGTGAATATTACCCATTCAGCTCATAATCCCTTGCCGCACATCCTTCAAGCGCATGTTAGAGGTTTTGACTCTGTCAGTGATACTTGGCAATGTTTTTGGCAGGCCACGCTGTAGAGCGCTCATGCGTCGCCAGCCCGAAGGGGTACGCATGGATGAGCAGGACGATCTTATGGGTAGTTGGGTTTATGGGTAGTCATTATTGTGATAGCCAGTAAACACATAACAGTAGTAGTCTTGAGTAACGAGTATGTATTTGAGCCCTAGTGACCATAGGGAGCATTCAAATGCCCGTGACACACTTGCATGCCACAAACATTATATAGTGAGCCGATAGGTACCAAAGTGTAGGCATGGGGAGCCATAGCTCTCCGAAGCACCTGGGGAAGCTACGTGGCTCGGTGATACCGGTTTTGCCACGTTTGTCTTTTTACATTTCATTGTAAAGGTAGCTACCCGGCAGGCAAAGATGTAGTGATCAAAGGGGGGTTCTTGCAATCCTGAAAACCATCAGAGAGCGCTGTCAGGACATGGGACAGGGTATAAAGAGGAAAAATGGGAGTGGGGGAATGGTGGTTGAGGTAGGGACATGCGCGAGGAAGGCCAGAGCACAAGGGTGAGGCAGAGGAAGCTTATTTTGTTCGGCAAGCGCGGTACATTGATACATCACACTTCGCGCCTCTGTAGAGTGCATCAAGGGGTTCAGGTTGCTGGTCCAGTCTGCCACCACCACTTTGACTTTACCTCTGCCACCGCACACAAATGTAACGGGCGAGAAGTGAACCTACATGACCAATGGGGAAGGGCCACGTGTCCAATGGTCCTTGCTTCAGCTGCCGGATGCTGCCATAGTGGATCAAGACGTTCACTCCCTCCACTTGTGAGGGAGCGACATGTGGCACACAATATTGACAAAGGGGGGGAAAGGAATCACATAAAGGAACAGGGCAGGAAAGGGATGGGTGAGGGATCTAGAAAAAAGAATGAACGAATAGTCCCCTTTCAAAATGGCTATCAACAGTTACCTCCATGTTTCATACCCATTCCTATCACTCTAGCAGTAGATTACGATGAAACATAGAGCACTGGACATGGAACCCAAAGTCAAAAATACCATGCTCTTGCCACTGATGTATGCCACTGTGGAGGCTATAACAAACATTCGTACAGCTCTACATGCGTACACCATTCTACCCCCACGAAAGGTAGGCACCCACCTGCAGCCCCCACTTGCTTCTGAGGCGCCTCATAAGTGAAATAACCACCTGCAGCTGTTCTCTTAGCTCCACCCGCTCCTTATCCTCCAGGTCAGCCCCCTTTGTGTCACAAGGACAGAGCGCGCCTTATTGTCACAACTCTCCACCCTCACTCACACCTCCTGAACTGAGATGGAGCGAGAAAGGAGGGAGATGGAGGGAAATAACCACCTGAGATCATCGAGCTTTACATCCCACAGATCCTCAGCAGTGTTCGCGTCTTTGGTGGATAGTGCGGCCTTTTGTGCATTCACAAAGTGCTTCACAAACTTCCGTGATAACGAACGTCCTTTGTGCCACACGTCCATCTGGTGCTCGAGGTCTGTCTTAATGATTACGGCTTTGAAACTCGCCCCGTCATCACTGATGATACCCTTCACCGGAAACCCCCAATTATTCAGGTCTTCTAGTCCCTTAGAGAATGCCTGACCCTCTAGCTCAGTCGACGATACCTTTAGCATGGATCTCGACACCGTCACACAGTGAAGTATCTTACGTGACCTGGGATCCATAAATGCAACACTACACCATTCCGCCTCTCGTGGCTGGCCCCACCTTCCGTCAACACACAACCAAAAACCACGTTATCGCCGAGCTAACATATCTGCACGCACCACCTCCATGCTTTTGTTGGCATGTTCTACGATCTTCTCCCATAGCCCACCTACCCCACTCATGTACCTGTAGAAGGTTCTCTTACATGGGATGGGCAGACCGAGATTCCTACCAACCTCCGATAGCGCAGTATACCCAAACCCCGCTAGAGCAAAAGACACAAGGAATCGCTGTAACAACGGGAGACGTTTCCTTCCTGGCTTGTCGGTCGTGCAACCCAGTGGCTGACGATCCACCGACCATAGCGACGTCGATTTTCCACACTTATCACAGCTCCAAACCATTCCAAATGCAGCCCACAACAGTTTCCAAGAGCGCAACTGCATCGAGCCCCCACATCCACCGCTAATGGTGCAATGCAGCGTCACCACCATGAAGAACCGAATGATGTGCACTGGGCTCAGCAAACACACGACATCCCGCAGTCCGTCAAGTGTTGGGAGTGCCGGCCATCGCCCGGGCGAGGTCTCGATTGGGATCGCATGATCGTGCGAGTTCCTAATGAGTGGGAGAAATGGGGTGTATAATCATGGGTTAGATTGATGTAGATGATCTACCTCTTACCCTTCATTTCACGTGCATACGCTTATTCCTGTACGTCACCTCTCATTTCACTTACACTTCGTGTGTGTGTCCGTCCTCTTTGCCAGATGTGGCAGTGGGCGGCCCACTCCCTCCTCCCAGCTCAAGATCGATCTCCACTTGGACATCTCCAACTTGTACCGGAACTTCATCATCAATTTCAATCACCACGTCATGCTGCTCCTCTTCCTCCTCGCTCACATCCCGCACCGTAGGCGTGGCAGCAGTGCTGTTGGCCTCTCTCGCTGTACATAATAGAGATCAAAGAAAAAACCCACACACAACATCCACACTATGTGCGCTGCCAAAGTTTGATTGAGTGAGGCTCTCCGTACCGAAGGGTGGAAAACGTGCGATGCCCATGCCTCATCACTGGGGTAGGGGGTGGACGGGGCAGATAAGGAATGGAAGGGAAAGGGGGAAATCCCATCGCCTGAGTGCGGAAGTGATGTAATGGGCAGGGAAGGCTAGACAAAATGGACATGCCCATGTTGCATCCTTGGGGCAGGGGATGGTAGGGGCAGAGCAGAGTGTGATCACACTCACGTGGATCGCCCTCTACCTGATCGTCCGCGGTGTGTGCCCCTGTCCAGATTACAGGGTCACTCGCAACGTACACACTAACAGCGCTGACATGGTATCATTTTGCGAGCTGTGCAGTGTAGCTGAAGTAGATTGGGAGCGCATACCTTTTTGCTTTAGCTCAGCATACGCTGCACCTCGACGGGCCCCACCCTGGCGGAAAACGGTGGTGTCGCGTCGTAGAGTCTCCTCATCGCTCCCATGATCTATCGGGAAGGCATATACCAACCCCCTGATAGCAGCTGGCTGTCCTCCCACGAGGGCATCAGGTCGGCCGGCCATGCGATCCTTCCCCCCCTGAAACTTTCCAGCGTACTTTTCCAGGCAGCCTTGCACTGCCTTCTCGGCCGTATCGCCGTCCGCACCTGTACGTTGGGTGAATGAACGGTAAAGGGCACCATCTTGAGCATGGTGGAGCTCTGGATCACGTTTTTCGCTATGGTAATTGCTAATAGACAAAACCAATGTTGGGAATTTGGCAGCCCATGAGTAGATGGTCACTTACCGGCCTTCTTCGCTGCGGTCATAAGTGTCTCGGTTGCCCCTGGGCCAGCGTGTAACAGGAAGTACACAAGGTCTGAAAGCGTTGCCGTACGTCCCTCTCCCATCAAAGTGCTCAAGCCACAACGCAAGTAACAAATAGGGATCTGCATGTGCTTTGATATTGCTAGATTCCCCTGATCCTTTGCTTTCACCAATTCCTTCACCCTCTTTGTCCATGTCTCCACAGATATTTTTTTTGGATGCCCCATGAAGTGACCCTCCCGTTACATGTCCTGTGTGGTTTGGACAGCGGAGGGAATGGAGGGGGAAAGCAGGGCCGCAAATCCGCGCGGCGGAGATGGAATGGACGATACGAAATAGAAGGGCAGTAGGGAAACAGCATGGCAGTCGGGGAAGGGCAGTGATGGGGGGATGGCTTGACAGGGAAGGGGAAGTATGCCGCTGACTCGTGGTAGACCACGGCCTACTCGTCTTGGCGTGCCCTTACAGGGAATATAAATGGGATAACAAGGGATGTTCAACGGGAAACGGGAAGCAAGGGGGGGGGGGCTGAGAGGGAGAAACGGGGGAATTGTGTTGGAGCGAGGGAGGAAATGAGGGGGGGGAAATGATAGAGACCAGAGGGGGGGAGGGGGGGGGGGGGTTTGAGAGGGAGAAAAGGGGGATCTGAGAGATGGGAGGGGGGAACTTGAGATGGTGAAGGGGTTGAAATGAGTGGGAGAAGAGGGAGAAACAGGGGGGAGACAGGGGGGAAATGAGGGGAACACGGGGGGTAATGAAAGGGGCAGGGGGAGGGGGGGAAATGAGAGGGATAAGGGGGGGACATGTCGTCGAGAAGGAGAGAAAATGAGTGGGAGAATTGGGGGAAGTGAGAAGGAGCATGGGGCGAAATGTAGGGGATCAGGGGGGTGAATGAGAGGGAGAAGGGGGGAAAATGAGGGAAGGGGGGGGGGGCTGAGAGGGAGAAACGGGGGAATGTTGATGGAGTGGGGGAGGAAGTGAGGGGGAGAAGCAGGAAAATGATAGAGAGAAGAGGGGAAAGGGAAGAAAGGGGGATATGAGAGCACCGAAGGGGGGGATTTTGAGTAGGGGAAGGCGGGGGGGGGGAGGAGAGGGAGAAGGGGGATAAATGGGGGGGAGAAAGGGGGGTAGTAGGGGGAGACAGGTAGGTAATGAGGGGTCGAAGGGGGGGAAATGAGAGGGAGAAGGGGGGGACACGTGGGGGAGAAGAGGGGGTAATGAGTGTGAGCAAGGGAGGAAGGAAAATGATGGTGAGGGGAGGGGGGCTGAGAGAGAGCAAGAGGGGGAATGAGATGGGGCAATGGGGGGTAATGAGAGGGAGAAAGGGAGGAGATGAGAGATAGAAGGGGGATAGACGGGACGGAGAAAAGGGGGCTTTGAGTCCGATGTGGGGGGGAAACGAGGTGGCAAAGATGGCAGAAATGTAGCTACATACGGGGGTGAAGGGAGGGATATGAGGGAGAAGGGGGGAGTCGAAGCTAGAAGGGGGGAAAATGCGTGGGAGCATGACATGAAATGAGAGGGCAAAGGGGATAAAATGAGGGTGAGAAGGGGGGGGGGGGGGGCTGAGAGGACGCAAGGGGGAAGGGGAGATGGAGCGAGGGAGGCACTGAAAGATGAAAGCGGGGAAATGATAGGGAGAAGAGGGAGGGGGGAGGGGAGTAGAGGGAGGAAAGAGGGATTTCAGAGCGAAAGGGGGAATTGAGAGAGGGGGAAGGGGGGGAACTGAGAGGGAGTAGGGGGGGAAATGGCGGGGAAAAGGGGGAACTGAGAAGGAGAAGGGGGCGAAATGAAGGGGAGCAGGCGTATCAACGAGAGGGAGAAGGGGAGAAAATGAGGGCATCAAGGGGGGAAAATGAGGGCATCAAGGGGGAAAAATGAGATGGGGCAACGGGGGCATGAGATGGAGCGAGGGGAGGTAATGGGGGGGGGGAAGCGTGGAAATGATAGGGAGTAGAGGGGAAGGGGAGGAAAGGGGGGGTTGAGAGCGAGAATGGGGGAATCTGAGTAGGGGAAGGGGGGGGAATGAGAAGGATGAGGGGAAGAAATGGGGGGGAGAAGGGGGAGAAATGAGGGGGAGACGGGGGGGTAATGAGAGGGCGAAGGGGGGAAATGAGTGCGAGCAAGGGGGGAAATGATGGTGAGGGGAGGAGGGGGGCTGGGGAGAGTGAGAGGGGGCCAGGGGGGGTAATGAGAGGGAGAAAGGGAGGAAATGATTGGGAGAAAGGGGGTAGAAGAGAACGAGAAAAGGGGGATTTGAGTGCGAGAAGGGGGGGAAATGTGGGGGCGAAGAGGGAGTGTTGAGAGGGATGATGGGGAGCAACAGGAGGGGGAGGACAACGCCACCCATGAGAGCGAGAAGGGGGGGAAATGTGCTGAGATGAGGGGGAGAAGGGGGTAAAATGAGGGCGAGTGGGGCTGAGAGGGATAAGGGGGGATTTGAGAGCGAGTAGAAGGGAATCTGAGTGGGAGAGGGGGAGGGGGGGAACTCAGAGGATGGGGGGGGTGGGGGGTTGGATGCCTTGAATTCGGGGGGAAATGGGGGTGTGAAGGGGGGCAAATTGAGGGGCAGAAAGGGGGGTAATGTGAGGGTGGAGGGGCCCAAATCAGAGGAAGAATGGGGGGAACGTGGGGGTGAAGGGAGGCACCACGAGGGAGAAGGGGGGGGTATGAGCGGAAGCACGGAGGCCAAAGGAGGGTGAATAGGGGGGGGCAATGACGGGGAGAAGCGGGGGAAACATGGGGAGAGAAGGAGGGGAAATGTGAAGATTATGCGCATGCGCGAAGTGGGAAGCAGGCGCGCTGCGTGTGAGGCGCTTAGCAGGAAGCAGGCGCGCAGCGGGTGAGGCGCTAAGCGGGAAGCAAGCGCTGAAAGGGACGGGCGCTTAGCGGGAAGCAGGCGCGCAGCGGGTGAGGCGCCTAGCGGGAAGCAGGCGCGCGTAGGGTGAGCCGCTATGTAGGAAGCAGGCGAACAGCGGGACGGGCGCTAAGCGGGAAGCAGGCGCGCAGCGCGACGGGCGCTTAGCGGGAAGCAGGCGCGCAGCGGGTGAGGATCTTAGCGGGAAGCAGGCGCGCGTAGGGTGAGGCGCTACGCAGGAAGCAGGCGCGCAGTGGGACGGGCGCTTAGCAGGAAGCGGGCGCGCAGCGGGTGTGGCGCTTAGCGGGAAGCAGGCGCGCAGCGGGACGGGAGCTCACCGGGAAGAAGGCGCGCAGCGGGCGCGGCGCTAAGCCCCAATGGCGCGCAGCGGGCGAGGCGGTAAGAAGAGTGGCGGCGTCGTGAGGTGCATGCAACGGGCTGAGCCCGCCGCCGGACCCTAAATTTTCTAATCGCGAAACGGCTTACTGTATCGCGGCGACCAAGCGTGATGATGCTACCAGCCCTTGATTCCCCGACTCGGCCGATAAATGCTGCACGACGCGCCCAGATCTCCTCTATCTATGCCGTGGCTATGGTATTAGACGCTTATCCTGCTTCGGGCTGTGAGTGTCAATGCAAGGTTGAGTGACGGGGGAGCTTCCTGTGCCACGAACCATTCATTCTGCAAATTTTCGCCAAACCCCTCACGAACCTCAATTTTGTTCGTTTGGGCGAAGTTTTCAACCATACTGTACAACCCTAAACAGTGATTGACCTCGCAGGATTCCTCTTGCCTCCCGCCGTCCAAACAAATTGGTTTTGCAGCTGTGAGGGAGTGATGAGGGAGTGAAGGAGCGATGAGGGAAAGAGTGTCTTTTTGTTCCCTTGCTTCAACGGCTATGCCGTTCCCCAGCTCTCACTGCCCTGGCTTCATAACCAAATCATTTTTCTAGTCGACGCATGTATGGGCAGACAAAAACGACACAAGCAACCTCTTCTTCCAGCATTCCATGCTGCCTCATGCTGCTTCTCTTGCCCCTTACCCTTCCCATCACCTGCCCCTTTCTCCCACCCCCTTCAGAACCTTTGAGCGTATAAGAAGAGCCAAGCGAGCATCTTCTTCCCTGCTGCTGCCCTTGCTCCTTTCCTTTCCTTTCTCGTTACCCTTCCTGTCCTGTGCCCTGTTCTGCCCCACCTCCGCACACTTCAGAGCCACTAGGCATACAAGAGGGATCCAAGGAACCACTTTCCCAGCTACGCCATGCTGCCCAGCCCTCTGCTGCTTCTCTGTCTTCTTCCTGTCCCCTTACCGTATTTGATGGCCCCTTTTACTCCGTTCCCTCCCGCCAACACCTTCGAAACCACTTGGTGTACAAGAAGGACCCAAGCAACCTTCCGAGCTATGCCATGCTGCCTCCTGCTGCTTCTTCTGGTATCTTCCTTTCCCCTTGCCTTTCGGTCACCTGCCCTTCGCTGTCCCGTCCGCCCCATCTTCCCCCATCCCCTTCAGAACCACAAGAAGGATCTCAGGAACTACTTTCCCAGCTATGCCATGCTGCCCCCTGCTGCCATCTTTGCTCCCATCTACACCCGCCACCGCCTTCAGAACCACGGGGCGTACAAGAAGGAACTCAAAAACCTCTTTCTCGGCTATGACATGCTGCCCCAGGCACAGCCTCTATAGCTGCACTGATGCTGGTGCTAATGGGTTGGTGCAGGGTGGGTGGGTGGTTGCACTGCCATCCCTCACATCCCAACCGTCATCCCTCACATCCCTCGCGTTGCAGAATCCCTCGTCAAATGCTGCCTTACTGAATTAATATTTTCGCCTTCACCATGCTCTCCTCCATCCAAAGCAGTGTCAAGATCCCCTCCACCCCTATCCACCCCCCCACTCTCTCCCCTCTACCTGCTATCCCCAACAGGGCGTTGTTGTGCCAACACATTACAGTGGCACGGTCATCGCACTCCCATTCGGCCTACAAGCCTGCTCAGCTTCTGGAATTTTGTGGGGAGGTTGTTCAACATGTGTTCTTCAAACCCTCAAAGTTTCAGAGTTTTTGAAGCAGTTACCAAGGCATGACAACATTTTATGTTTCAAGACTTATGGCATCCCGGAAGTGTGTGTTACTCCTTTTTGGTAACACCCGAGTTCACCATTTCGGCTGCCGACTCGTCTACCGAGCTCTGATTGGTCTGAAATTCGGTCTGGCAGTCCTTTGCCTCGCTGTGCAGGTGGTCACCAAGTTTCAGAACGATCCAACATCTGAGCATTGCGTGACAGCTGCCGAAATTCACTGTTCCGTAGTCATGGTGCACTGTTGGCAGCATTTCCCTTGCCACCCTTTCATTGTTGTCATGCCAATGGTGCAGGGACAGAGAATGAGACAAGAAGTACAGGTGGTCAAGTGGGACTCTACAGCTCTCCTTTTGAGAAGTGTGGTCTTCCTGGAACCAGCTTGCAAGAGGGTGCAAGTGGGAAGACAAGCTGACTCATGGTTGGCTTAACTCACAATTGGTTGCCTTGAGAACAGCTCTGAACATCCATGTGTGGTTGGCTTTGCTGACCTAGCTAGGACGTTTCCCATCCTTCTCTAGCCTTTCTCCCCTAGGACTCAACCTTCTCTGAGTTCCCAGGATGATCCCAACCCCTTAAGAGTCCCCTAGGCAATGTTGTACCTCACCTCTTCCTTGCATCAATGAGAATACACGTTTTTCAGCCGAGCTTACGTTTTCGTTCACAGCGTAGCGCATACACCTCTGGTGAAAACAAGCAATACACCGTTGGAAAGCAGACACTTAAGGCTAACTGCTGTCCAAGTTTCAGCCTCATGTGTTATCGGAGCTGATCGTGACGGCGTTTTGAACAGAGGCGGTTTGAAGACGTCAGATTCTGCTTAGGCGGTTTCATGGGCATCCGCGACCTCTAAGTGGACTCTTGACTATAACAAGTGGTATCAGAGCTGTTCTACTCTGTTCGTGGGTGAATATGGAGGCTGAAGGTTCTGCTCCAGCTGGTCCCAGTGGCAGTGGTGGCGTGAGAGGCGCTGGGGAAGCGGGAAGAGGCGTTGCAGGCGGATCTGCACCAATGGCTTCCGTTTCAACATCAGCTAAAGATGATGTGAAGGCATTCAACCTGGAGAAGTTCTCTGGGGAGGATTGGGCATCATGGAGCTTCAGGATGGAGCTCCTCTTCAACCATTATGGGCTGCTTGAAGTGATGGATGGAGAATTGAAGAGGCCTGCGAGCGAAGGAGCGACCAAAGAATGGGATCGCCGGTCCAAGGATGGATTCTTCCTTCTCTCCCAATGCCTCTCATCCAACCAGCTGCACCACATCAAGCATCTCATCAAGGAAGTTGAGTGTGGTCCTAAGGCATGGAAGATATTGAAGGATGTCCATCCCCCCAGCAGCGAAGCTATGGTGGTGGTGCTCGAGCGACAACTCCATGCGGTGAAGATCAACGAGGGTGATGCCGTACAAGGAGCGTTCGATCAACTCAGGGACCTCTATGTGAAGCTCTCTGCTGCTGGTGTGGACTACCCTGAGAAAATCAAGTGCTACAAGGCTCTCTCCCTGCTGCCGGAGTCGTGGGGGCCCTTGGTGGTCAACCTTAATGGCATGAAGGACTCGTGGTCCCTTGAGTGGATTCGCGCGCAAGTTCTTCAAGAGGAGTTTTGGAGGAAGGAGCTGACCGCCGCTGCCGGTGAAGGTGGAGGTTCAGCCTATGGCATGAAGGGCTTCAAGGGGCGTGGCAGCAAGAAAGGCAAGGCCAAGGAAGGCTCTGGAGGGGAGCAGCATTCGGGAGGGAAGCGTGGCAACAAGGGAGGCAAGCGGTGTGGCGGCAAGTGTTGGTATTGCCATGTGGAAGGGCACCCATGGTTCAAGTGCCGCAAGCTACCTGACGGTTGGAGGCCTGGTCAGCCATCAATTGAGGGCTCCAAGGGTGTTCATGGAGCTATGGGAGAAGGCATGGGCAGTGAGGAGGGCGATGGAGGTGCTGGCGGATACGGCGGCATGTTCTACCATGTAGGGGGGGCGTGCCCCGAGGACATGGTTGTGCCGGCCAGCAAGATTGCTCTTCACCGCTCCTCCCATTGGGTCATCGACACGGGAGCCTTCATGACCATGACCAACCGAGAGGATCTACTGGATGAAGTTAGGCCATCAAAGGCAGCCACCGTCGTTTCAGCCACCGGCCAAGTTGTACCCGTGCGTGGCGAGGGGAGAGCCATGTTCATGGGTGCGGATGGGAGGCTTGTGGGGCTGAAGCGTGTTCTCCTTGTTCCTGGATTGTGTGCCAACCTCCTCTCTACCAAGGCCCTAAGTGAGGCAGGGATGAAGATGGAGATGTTGGGCACAAAGGTTTTCAAGGCAACTCTGGATGGGCGCGTGTTGTGGGACCTCCGAGGCGGCAAGGACATGCACCGGTCCATGTGGGAGATACCGGTGCTGCCATGGAAGGGGCGGCTGCGCGCTTGGCTGCTGGAGGTGTGAGAGGAGGGCGTGTTAACCACGTGGACAATGGAGGAGGTGGTGATGATAGTGATGGTGGGCTCCTTGGGCATGGAGGGGCTGAGTTACCAAGTGTAACTCCTAGCACGGGTGAGACGGATTGGCTCACCGCACACCGTCGCTTTGGCCACGTGGCGCTACCTCAGTTGCAGCAGCTGTTCAAGGAGGAAAGAGTCAAGGGGCTGAGGATAAAGGGGGAGCCCAAGGAGGTGGGATCTTGTGAGACTTGCTTGACCAGCAAGTTTTCACGGTTTCCCTTCCATTCGGTGGAGGGGAAGTCGAGCGACCCGGTGGAGCTCGTGCATGTGGATCTCGTGGGACCCATGAAGGTGAAGGGAGATGGTGGGGCCCTGTATTCCATGACCATGGTGGATGACAACACAAGGCTCACCTGGTCCTTTCCACT